GGGGGGGGGGTGGGGGGGGGGGGGGGGTTCAAAAGTAGTATTGGAAGTGAAGATAAAGTGTGTTGGAGGGTGGGGAGGACACAATCAATGTATGATATCACTTGTAGAACTTGTTTCCGTACTTTTTAAAAGCAAACTTATTTTCAAGAAAATATTTTCTAAAACTTTCGACCAAACAAACTTAAGAAAATCGAAAAATATTTCTACTTGGCCAAGTTTGTCCATGGCCATTCATTTTCGTGGACAATGAGATTTGAACTCAGAATATATGTTACTCTACTTTAATACTATACAGAATAATGTAACCATCACATCTAAACATTGAAATTGTTAGAAGGAACACAATTTCAATTACTCATACATAATTATATTGTATTGTCCATTGAAACAATATTTATTTTTGAGGAATGAGATCTCTTGGCCATTTACAAATCGTATAGAAGAAAATAGTCTTTTCAAATCTCTTATATATAAAAACAAATATCTCTCGCTCTACTCTAACACTCTATTGAACAATGTAACCTTCGCATTTAAAAATCGAAATTGTTAGAGATAATACTCTTTCAATTACTCATACATAATATATTGTATTGTCTATTGACATAATATTTTATTTATGAGGAAATGACATCTCTTGGACATTTCAAAATTGAACAAAGAAAATATTTTTTTCAGATCTCTTGTAAAATAATGAAGACTTTATTTTAAAAAAACAATTTGTAAATGACCTACAAAATCAGTTCTCTCGATATTTAGTTTCATTGTTTTCCCCATTTGTAAAGTGAAGAATTCTCCAAACATGTTGATCCTCCACAGAAAGGGAAAAAGAACAAATTAAACTTAAGTAATAATGCTAACTTCCATTAATTGAGATACAAATGAGAATACATTCTTTAATAATTTGAACTAGGGCACACACATCTTCACAACAATTACATAACATTTTCATACTACAACTTCTTCAACTCAACAATTTATTTATTGTTCCTAGTAGTACTACTAGTACTAATTAATATTAATGTCAAACTTTTCTTGAAATAGGGGTGAGGTGGGGGTGTCCTCTTGGAACCATGGGAAGGATAAGCTAGAACCAGAACCAGGACATGTGCTACCTGCTATTCAAGTAGCTTCCGAGAGGAGGGGGGGGGGGGGGTCTTAATTGCTTTTTAAACCAGATATGTAAGGCTTGATAAGTTTAATAAGTGAGCCTTGAAGATGAAGTGACATGACTTCATTAGTAGAACCAACCAATAACCCCCCAATAAAAACAGCAGGAAACATGAATGAACTATTGACACCCATCCTTATTAAGGCCTTTTCCATTTCTTTTCCATCAGACTCATGATCAATTTCACAAACATATGGAATTACACCAAGATCTTGAAATAATATACTCACTGCATAACTCAAACAACATGTACTCTTGCTAAAAATCACCACTCCATGTTCTCTAGTCATTCTTTGTACCTTCTCCATATTTTTTTTGACAAAAATTAGATGAAGCAACTAGCCAAAAAAAGAGCTAGAGAAATAAAAGGATTTTTATTTCACAAGCTCAAAGATAGATAGGCTAGGTTGCTTGAAAATAGGGGTGGGCATGGTGAGTCTATTTATAGTTATAAATGAATAAAGAAAAGAACCTTTTAAAAGATTGTGAGCTTTATTTAGATGCTTTGAAAAAAAAGATCCTACTACTACTATTTTGTTCCACATATAAAGGGCAAGTTGGAAGAACATATATTCTATGTGATCATGCATGCACGTTTTTAATGGAATTTAAGTTATATACATTATCGATATAAAAAATATATATACATTTTATATTTATTTGTTGTAGCAGGTGAATGGTGATAACACCATTTTTTGGACTATAGGTTTAATTTTCCATTCATGAGCCCACTTTGGTCTGTAGAAGTGAAATTTCTTCCTCTCATATTATATTAGTGTTGAGTTTTGCTCTTAAAAGTCTTTCTTGATTTGTGTGCTCCTTATTTAATATTTAAAAAAACTTGTTGAATTTTGAGGGAATATCTCATAAAGGACAATATCATAGATATGTTTTAAGCTTTCAAAATTTTTCTATAATTTTCAAGATCAAATATTTTTCTATAACATTTCCAATAAGGATGGCATAAAAAGTGCTCCATGCTCTTTTTTGAGATTAAATTTATACTGTCAGTCAAATACATAATATATAATATAATCTTGAATATTCCACACGTACCAAAATGACTCAAGATTTAATTGTCAAACAACTAGGAATTATTCCACTAATCTACAACTTATAAGTAATAAACAATATATCGTAATCACTAATTATTTCTCAGAAAAGAAATTGACTCATGTTGTTTCTCAGAGAACATAAAATAAACAAAACTTTGATAAACAAATTAAAATTTGAAACTAAAAAGTTTGTGATTGATAAATAAACTAATAAAAATAAGAAAATGTAACATGATAATGGAAAAATGAAAAAGTGTCTCGATCATACATGAATAAATACTAAGTAAGTAATCTTGGAGAGATCAAGCTTTCTGTGTAAGTGAACCCATTCAGAAATTTACCTCGAGGCAATAATGTAAAGGGTCCTCTTTGTGTCCTAAATTTAATGTCCCTACCTAGTAAATGTGCGCACCAGAATAATATTTCACCATTTGCAAACTTATATTTTGGTGTGGCTCTAAGAAGATAACGATCTTCTATAGATAATATTGCATTCCAAGATTCCTTGAGATTATAATCTCTCATTACCCATACCTTAAAAGGACGGATCCCCTGATCACACGTCTTAGAATAAGCACAAAGCATTCCTTCCAATATAGAAATTCCAGTACTGCCGGTCTTCAACAAGCATATTTCCTCTGGCAATGATATCTCTCCATACATTTCATGAGAAATATTAAATGAAACCACAAAGTATTTTTTTGAATAAAACCCAATCCAATGAAATGTCCCATGTATAAATGCCAAAGAATCCATACCAGACACCTTATTGCCAGTGACACGAGGATGTTCACCAATTTTTCGCCAAGAACCACTTTTTAGTGTGAAAATTTCATCAGGCACTTTGTGATTATCAAATTCATTCCCCTCAATTTTTAGAATCTTATACTCACCACTACTTGAATCAAGACCCAATCCCAAACAAGAAGTTAATCCCTCTGAAAATTCTGGAATGGGAAGTACCATTGATTCTCTCGTTGAGGGATTCCATAACAAAAGTATATTGGGCTCAACAGTATTTTCAAGAACTTTAATAATAAACAAGCCATTACAACCATTATAGATTGTGCAAAACCGTGGTTCAATGTTTAGAGGAAAATTCAGTTTATGTGTATCCTCAACCAACTGAACCGGCGATAAAGAACAAGAGTATATGGGAAATTCATCTTCCTCAATGTATTGTTGGTAAAAAAGAAATTTTTGAGAATTCTGATCATTCTTTGCATGGTTGAGATGTTTCATCCTAAAATATGATTCATCAATTAATGTTTTCCAAAATTTTGAAACACATTTAAATCGAAGAAGAGACTGCACAGGTAACCTGCTGAGGATGTCACTAAGTGTGCCCTCTTCAAAGTAAACTTTCATGGCCTAAATAGGAAAAAAAGTGATATTAGACACTTAGCTTACTCTTAAAAATGTCAAAATATTTATACCATTTCAATCAAGATATTAAAAAGATAAACCTAGATTGATCTTTTTCTATTTATTATAATAAAACAAACAAACGGAGTAATGAAATTTAGAAAAAAATTGGTGGAGGAAAATTTTCAAGACCATAGTAGTGGCAACAAGAGAGAGCAACACATGAGCCAATTACTTTAAGCATTTTCAACATATTTGATGTTTAAGTGAAGACATAAATTTATCACCTAACACTATTTATAATGTGACTTACATTTTTATATTTGAAACTTTTTTTTTTTTTGGTTTGTAAAAGGAGTTAATTTATTTATATATAATATGCATCCATACAATCCAGGTGGCTAGAAGCATTACTATTGATACTTGGTAATGATACATCACTTTTCAACTAGCTTTTTCAGTTCGGTATTAAGAAAAATATTTTCTTACTTTTTTTCTTTGTTTCGTAGGTTTGTAAATAATATTAATAGCAATTGATGAAGTAAATTAAATTGAATTTTTTTTTTTTTTTATCGTAGCAACAAAACACACCTAGAATCCAAGTCAAATCGATAACAAATTCCAATAAATGAACTCAATTGATGTATAGTGAACTTACATGATCTAGAATATCCACTGAGTTTGCTTTCTTTGAAGACTCCAAAACTATTTGTCATGCATTTAAAATTGAATAAAATTAGCTCAAACACGCACTATTATTATTAAAGAAAATTAAAACACACAACAAAAATAAACATATACCTTTAGGAGTTTGATTGGAAAATTTTAATTTCTTTTTCCGTTGGCGATTCAACATCTTTAGAGCTTTGATTTGAATGTTACAATTTGTTTTTTGTTTTTTTTTATGTATTGATAGGATTTGATTGTTTGGTGGCCTTATTTATAACACAATTTCATTTGTTTTTGGGAAAAACATAAATACACTACCAAAAAGAATTTTTTTGATTATTTATCCATATTAGTACCATCCATCAAAAAGTAACACTATATTATTTTCCTTTAATATCCATCTTCCATATTTAAAATTATAATAATTTAATTTAAAATCTACAATTCTATTGTTTTTAGAAAAAAATATAAATATACCGCCAAAAAGAGAATTTTTTATAATTTATCCAAATTAGTATTATCCAACAAAAAGTAACACTATATTATTTTCCTTTAATATCCATCTTCCATATTATCATAATATTTAATTTAAAATGTAATGTTCATTTTGAAACTACAATATTCAATTAAAGAATACAATATCCAACTCATACTATAACAATTATAGAATTCAATTCAAAAGTAAAATATTCAATGAAGTAGATTATATAATTTAAAACTACAGTATTCAATTTTAAAATACAATATTCAAATAAAAATTATCATAGACATCTCCATTTTATCCTCTTTTATTCCATTTGTATATATTTCTCTATTTCATTGCATTTGTGTATCTCTCATTTAGTTCATCCTCTTTTATTCCATTCTCTAAATCGTTTTAATTGAAAATAATATTTATAAAATATCTCTTTCTTTTATACATCTCCATGGATTAAATAAGATAATGATCATCAATTTTAACTTGAAATATATGACAAATATTATAGGTAGACTAACATAATGTATCTCAAATAAACGGGTGATATACATTTTAATAGACATTAAAATGTATACATATTATTCCGACTATACAATAGCTCAGTATCATATTATTCTATCTATATATATAAAATAATAATATGCATTCATATTATTTCAGTCATGCATACTTATCATATGGAACAATACTGCTCAAGCAAACTCTGAAGGAAAAAAAATAAAATTAATAATAATTGTCATTTTTCTTACAATAATAATAATTTTTTTATATGGTATGTGCCAACAATAAAAACAATAATATATCTGATGAAATTTCAAATAATAAGATTGTCATGATTTAAAATCGGATCATGAATTGATGACACCTATCTTTGTAAGTCTATGATATATATATATATATATATATATATATAAGTGTCACGATCCAGACCGTTGTGATTGACACCCACTCTAACTCTCCGGTGGGAGAATCATTACTACAACCCAAGCTGGACAATTTAATAAAAAACTATGCATTTAAAGATATGAAAACAGGTTTAAATAACTATATAATTAATATTGAGTCCCCATAAACTCCAAAGGTTTTACCAAACAAATAACTAATCAAACTAATGCGGAAGAACAACCCCTAGAACCTGAAAGTCATTGTATCAAACTCTACTAACGACAAGTCTAAGAACAAGGGGTACAACCCCGAAACTAAACAACACCTTAACAAATAGTATGAGTCTGAAAAGAGTGGACTTAAACAAGGAAGATCCATGGCAGCCTGAAAGAATTGGCTCACCTTTGAATCTGGTCACGCTCAATAGTCACCTAGCTAAGGTCTATCAATAACCACTTGAAGATGCCATGTACTCAACAAAGAAAGAGCAAGTACAGAATCAGTACACAACCACAGTGTACTGGTAGGATCAGGTGGCTATCCTAATAAGTGAAACACATGCAAGTAACCATAACATTATAAAACAGGCATATACCGAACATATGCAATATTAGTCATCTTTTCAGGATCAATGTAGCATCCCACATTCTCAATAATACACATTGGTTATTAATTTATAGCAACATACAGTCTTTCAATATCAATCATCATTAGATATGAACGTAATCATCACAAGTAGATACACAACATAATTCAATGGTCCTATCATGGAACCTCATTCAATGGTTCTCTCATGGAACCCACACCCAAACTGTTAGCATACCGGAAAGTGGTACCCGATCCAATGTTTATGCCAGAACGTGGCAACCGATCCCATATTTATGCCAAAACGTGACAACCGATCCCAGTTAGTGTGTCGGATCGTGACACCCGCCCATTCAACAAACCACAATC